AAATTAAAAAAATCAAATTAAATTTAATTGAATTTAAATAATTGTAAAATAAATGAAAAAAATCAATGGGGAAATTAATCAATTAATTAAATAATAATAAAATATTAAAATAAAGTGGAAGTGGAAAAATGAAGAAAAAATTACTAAAATAAAATAATGCTAAAAAAAATCAGTGGGGAAATTATTTAATTAAAAAATATCAAAAATAAAAAATTAAAGTGTAACATTTTGCAGACAAGTAAAAACAATGAAGAAGCAAAAAATAAATATCAATATCAAATCTATTTTTAATGTATTTTAATATTTAATTTGGTACATTCAGCGCATCATATAGTGATATATTGATGTGATACACTGCTTCATTTCTTTATTTATTCTTGATTTTTGGCAGCTTCCATCCTCCATACCTCACACCTACCCTTCCTAATCATTTCCAGTCTCATCTCATGATGGTGTGGGTCAAAATATCATCAACAAAGTCAGCACAAGTGTTGGAAAATGTCACAGTTAATGATCTGTGCAAGAACTTTTTTAGTAAGAAATACTTAAGGGACAGTCCCACCTCGGCCTCTTAAACTTCCCACCACATGCACACAAAATGTGACCGATATCAAGGAGAGAAGTGCTCACCATCATCTTATTATCTTTAAAGGCACCTTCGTAGTACAGGCCGAACTGAGTGACGACGACCCCGGTGCCCTGCCGCAGGTGGTCCTGCCACATGCCCATGTACTTCTCCCCTCTGGAGAGAAAAAAGATAAACAAGAAACCAAACAAAACCCATTTTCAAAAGCTTCTTTCCTGTCATCTTTAACCTTGTGTAACCTTTACGTTAATGAGCGTACTTTGTGATATCATCAAAGACTCCATAGCCGGTCTTCTTGTCCTGCAGCCACTGGCCGATGAAGACACTGGGGGAGGAGGTGTTGAGCTTGCCACTGCGCAGCATGCCATGGCCGTGTCGCATGTTGTCCTGGAAGGACCCATCGTAAACCTCACCACTGGCATACCTGCAGACAGATGGGAGGGTATCTATTCTATCCACAAACTGTTTTTTAATAGTATTTATGTACTTTGTTGTGTCCCTTCAAATTGTCCTCATCTTTGTCTTGTTGCCCAACATGGACGATAAAGTTCCTCTTCACTCACCTATATGTCCCGAGGCCGTGCATCTTGCCATCTTTCCACTGCCCTTGATAGTGATCGTTCTTGTTGAGCGTCTTATTGGGAGCCACGAATTCACCAAAGCTACACAAACACATAAATATATGAGGAGGATGAAGAAATAGAAGCTTAAAAAAATTATTTTATCTGTGAAATAATGACACATAAGACTCATGTGCACTGAATAAATGCTCTCACCCATCTTCCAGTCCGTTCTTAAACGTCCCTGTGTATATCCTCCCATCAGGCCATTTTAACACTCCCCTGAAAAACAGTTCATATCATAATTACACATTAATATAAATATTTAAAATATTCTATTGAAATTCACTTTTATTTTAATAATTATTGTTTTCTTGTATTTATTTAAATATTTTTGTTGTTTGTTTTTTAAGTGTGTTTTTCCTATGACTTACGACATTATGTTTCTTCATAGAAAGAAATCATTGTTTTGTTATCTTTTAAAATAATGCATCATAATAAAAACATTTAAAACAAAATGTCCACAAATACAAAAATAAATTTAAATAAATAAATAAAATGCACAGACATGACAGACAGCGTGGTAGTCCAACCTGCCGTTGGGCTTCCCAGCGAGCCAGCGTCCTTCGTATGTTGCCTCCTTCAGCCGTCCATCCTTATAAAAAGTGTACGAGGCCGTCCTGGAGATGGGAGGCTCCAACTTTTGCCCCGACCCCGAGCCGATGGATGCGGTGTCCTGCCCCGCCCCGTTAAGGGCCTGGTCCACCGCCTGATTGATGGAGCGAAGCCACTTGGCCTGGGAACGAACACATGCTCACTTTTATGAAGGCCATCACACAGCGGTCCAGTAAATTTGAGCAGCAGCAAATGGAAATGTATTTTTTGTCCATTAATCGCATAAAAAGATTTACCTTCTCCATGGGAGAGGAGGCCAACAGGGTGAACGTCTCCTCTGGTGTAATCACCTTTAACCCGTATCTGCGCACACACACACACACACACACACACACACACACACAAAGTTTAACACTGGAAACAATTACTGGCATGTTAGACTGTAATTAAGTGGACTTACATGCCAGTGTGCTCCTCTGGGATCGGCTCCACCCAAAGTGTGGCCAAGGGGAAGACGTGATGGGTGGAGAACTGGAGGCATGGAGAAAGGAATAGAGGGAGGAAAGAGGGGACAAGAAAGAAGGGAAAGGTGAGTGTTTAGAAACGGAAAAAACAGCAAATATTGTTTATCTTATTAACGTTTTTTGACCACATTAAAGAGACAGTGAGACAAACCTAAGTGCTACGAATAAGCCCATAAGATGTGTGTGGACCTCACACACAATCAGGAGGTGAATTACTGTAAGCTAACCGCTCATGATGAACAGGAAAAAAATACTTGAAGAGACGACTGCTCTCTGGAGAGACTCGCTCATGGAGCAGGCTTATTATGTACATGTACCTACTTGTATGGATGAAAGCTGCTATAAAGTGGAGAAGGAAGTAAAAACGACGTAAAAAAAAAGAAGAAAATAAAGAAGTACAGGGTATAATGGTAAAGAAGGACACACAGTCAAAGGGAAGTACAGAAGGAAGTAAAGTAAAAAAAAGGAGTAAAGAAGGAAACAAAGTCAAAGGGAAGTATAGAAGGAAGTAAAGGTAAAGTAAAAAGGGAAATAAACAAGAAAATAAAGTCAAAGTGAAGTATAAAAGGAAGTGATGGTAAAGAAGGACACAAAGAAACAGGGAAGTATAAAAGGAAGTAAAGGTAAAGTAAGTAGGGAAGTAAAGAAGGAAACAAAGACAAAGGGAAGTATAGAAGGAAGTAAAGGTCAAGTAAAAAAGAAGTAAAGGAGGACACAAAGTCGAACTGAAGTATTGAAGGAAGTAAAGGTAAAGTAAAAAAGGGAACAAAGTGAAAGGGAAGTACAGAAGGAAGTAAAGTAAAAAAGAAGTAAAGAAGGAAACAGTCAAAGGGAAGTATGGAAGGAAGTAAAGGTAAAGTAAGAAGGGAAGTAAAGGAGGACACAAAGTCAAAGGGAAAGAAGAAGGAAGTAAAGGTAAAGTAAAAAAGGAAACAAAGTCAAAGGGAAGTACAGAAGGAAATAAAGTAAAAAATAAGTAAAGAAGGAAACAAAGTCGAAGGGAAGTACAGAAGGAAGTAAAGTAAAGTAAAAAAGAAGTAAAGAAGGAAGCAAAGCCGAAGGGAAGTACTGAAGGAAGTATAGGAAAAGTAAAAACTGAAACAAAGTCAATGGGAAGTACAGAAGGAAGTAAAGGTAAAGTAAAAAAAGGAAACAAAGTCAAAGGGAAGTACAGAAGGAAGTAAAAGTAAAGTAAAAAAGGAAACAAAGTCAATAGGAAGTACAGAAGGAAGTAAAGGTAAAGTAAGAAAGAAGTAAAGAAGGAAACAGTCAAAGGGAAGTACAGAAGGAAGTAAAGGTAAAGTAAGAAAGAAGTAAAGAAGGAAACAGTCAAAGGGAAGTACCAAAGGAAGTAAAGGTAAAGTAAAAAAAGAAGTAAAGAAGGAAACAGTCAAAGGGAAGTACAGAAGGAAGTAAAGAAGGAAACAAAGTCAAAGGGAAGTATGGAAGGAAGTAAAGGTAAAGTAAGGGAAGTAAAGAAGGACACAAAGTCAAAGGGAAAGAAGAAGGAAGTAAAGGTAAAGTAAAAAAGAGGTAAAGAAGGACACAAATTCTAACTGAAGTATTGAATGAAGTAAAAGTAAAGTAAAAAAGGAAACAAAGTCAAAGGGAAGTACAGAAGGAAGTAAAGTAAAAAAGAAGTAAAGAAGGAAACAGTCGAAGGGAAGTACAGAAGGAAGTAAAGTAAAAAAGAAGTAAAGAAGGAAGCAAAGTCAAAGGGAAGTATGGAAGGAAGTAAAGTAAAGTAAAAAAGAAGTAAAAAAGAAAACAAAGTCAATGGGAAGTACAGAAGGAAGTAAAGGTAAAGTAAAAAAAGGAAACTAAGTCAAAGGGAAGTACACAAGGAAGTAGAGGTAAAGTAAAAAAAGGAAACAAAGTCAAAGGGAAGTACACAAGGAAGTAAAGGTAAAGTAAGAGAGACTTAAAGAAGGAAACAGTCAAAGGGAAGTATCAAAGGAAGTAAAGGTAAAGTAAAAAAGGAATAAGAATTCAAAAGGAATTAAAGAAGGAATAAAGGGAAAGTAAAGAGAGGAAGTCAATAGGAAATTATGGAAGTGAAGGAAATGAAATGTTAAGAAGGAAAGAAGGGAAAGTCGAAGGGAGTAAAACAGAGATACAGGAGGAGGAGGTGCAGAGAAGGGGGGGAAGGAGAGTAAAGGGTTAAAGAAAGGAAGAAAGACAAAGAAAAGGAAATAAAATGGACATGAAGAAGATTGTAAAAAGGAAAATAAAGGAGGTAATTTTGTTTATTGCTTCAAGGTGTATTCAGGATTTCACAGTGATAAAATACTTTAATAATAGTCAGATTTTTTTTTAAGAACTAATCAGATATCATTTAATAGAGATTAAGTAGGATGATGCATCTTGTTTAAGATTAACAGAAGGGATACCAGGATCAGTCATGCAAGACAACATGTGTTGCACATGTTTTTAAACAGAAGTTAAGAAGCATGCATGCTCTTGTTCACTGACACCCCGCGACTTATTGCACAGTCACATCACAAGACACCATAGTCTGCTGCTGTCGGATACTGTTAGTTCCTAGCCTCAGTTTTACACCCCGCTTCAGGAATTCAAATACAGACATTTCTTTTGTCAAACAGTGACAGAACGAGTGAGTCGAGGCAGACAGTCAGGAAGTGGGGGGGGGGGGGACTGGAATATGCAGGACAACCACGGGACTGGTGCAGACTTTAAGAGACAGGGAGGCATGGGAAGAAATGCAAATAGAAAGAGGAGACAAACAGGGAGCGAGGGAAGGAAATTGCTTTGGAGACGTGAACCAGAAGCTGTTGGTACCTTTTCAGATTACATATGAACCAACAGTAAAAACCAAGGCTTCAACAGGAAAGTAATTTATCCCATATTTTCACGGGTTTATTTTGAGTTTGGGGATTTCAAGCTGTAAAAACAGGAGTGCATAAAGAGATGATTAAAATGCATTAAAACCCATTGAGCCTTGGTTACAGTCAGTTCATCCTTCCATGCAGTCTCCCTCAGGTAGAGAGCAGGCAGAGGGCGAGGGCGAGGGCGGGGATAGGGCTGCGTATCACCGGACATATTTGCGTGATAACTTTCTGAACATACACATAGCATGTAAGCACTGGATTCAGCTGGAAATTCTTACCTATCCTTTATCTATTGTTTCTGTCCCTGGTTTAATCATTATTTTTGTATTCATGTGATTAATTTGCTGAATAAACCAAAAACAGACAATTAATTACACCCCTCTGCCACCCTAAAAAGTACTTAAAGGGGTAGTGTCTCATTCATGAAATGTGAGCAGAACAAATTTGCGTGTAAACTGTTTGCAGATGGAAATTTATGTGTATTTCGGCATGGGTATTGACATAATCTACACCTGCTTCTGCCTGACACACATTTAGATAAACAAGTTGGTATTAGCAGATTTAAAGGGATAGTGCACCCAAAAATGAAAATTTAGCCATTATCTACTCACCCATATGCCGATGGAGGCTCGGGTGAAGTTTTAGAGTCCTCACAACATCGATCACTACAGACGAGCAGTATGGAGATATTTTGTGGTTTCAATTATGTGTTCCTGGACGTTTGAATCTGGGGCGCCGTCAGCCTCCATTAGGTGGAGTTGTGTTGCTACCTCCTCTCCCCTTGGATCTCCAGAAGCGATGTGAGGACTCTAAAACTTCACCTGAGCCTCCATCGGCATATGGGTGAGTAGATAATGGCTGAATTTTCATTTTTGGGTGCACTATTCCTTTAAGCTTCAGATTAGGTTTCTTAAAAATGTAAATGAGTTTTTTAAAAAGACTTAAAGTCCGTGTGAAGCAAATTCTGCTATTTTCTTCTTAAACATTCAATAGGTCATAAAAGTATACCTCAAAATGTGTAAAAAAGCCTTTCAACCATTTACAATTGAATTGTGGAGCTAGGCTTCACAAACTGTGTTTCTAGGTTTCTGTGTTCTGGATCTAGTGGGCGGGCCTTAAATCATAGCCGCGTTACGTAACGGAGCTATCCCTGCTACAAACACGCCCCTTGAGGCTGTAGCAGTATAAATAGAGGGAATCGCCTTGTTGTTTACAAATACTTCCGGGTAGAAAACCAGCAGAGTTTAGCTATATATATATCTCACATTTTTCACGTCACCATATCACCGTTTAGACTAATCTGATGTTTGTAAAGTCTATAAACACAATGATTGAACAAACATTACTATTTTTGTGTGCATGTTTTGTAATTAATAACATGGTTATCGTAGATTAGCTGGGCTAACCGTTAGCTGTTAGCCGATAGCCGTTAGCTAGTAGTGGTGTCTGTAATAACTCAGTAACTCATTAAACGGTCTGTGAATAAAATATTTTTTCCAGTGGATATCTTAGTTACAACATGATTGAGCTAGCAAAGCAGTTTTGTGTTGCTATGTGTGGTATTTATTCAGTTTTGGGAAATCACGATGTCTAGAAAGCATCAGTGGCTGCAGCTGACAGGGACAGCTATCAGCAGCAGCAAAGCTAACATCAGGACGTCATCTGTTAAAAGCCTCCCGTTGTCAGATACGACATGAAACTACTCCAGTTAGCTCAATCATGTTGTAACTAAGACATCCGCTGGAAAAAATATTTTCAGTCAGTGGAGTCAAACCGACACTCTCCCTCCCTGGATTACATCCTCCTGTTGCGCCGGCTGCAGGTGCGGGGTTACGTCCTTGTACAGTACACGGAGCCGGCTTCCCTCCCGCGAGTGGGAGTCATGAGACAAGAGGCTGCAGCCATACCCCTCCGGACACGCCCCCAGCATTTCACAGCAGAGAGAAGTGCTTGTTTTTCCATGATTTTGAGAGCTAAGTTTATAATCTTAGCGATTTTTTTTAATCTTTCAAATTTGGCTCAGTGATTAATGACACATATTTCTGTGATGTGACAAACTTCTAACAGACATTTTTTGCTGCTTTACACAGACTTTAATACATGTGTTTTCTACATTTCTGGCATCTTGTTCCCACTTGAATCAATCAGGAGAGAGAACTCCACAAGTGTATCTTCTGTCTGAGTGGCGAGACTGTGAGACCCACGCTACAGACCAAACACTAACTATCAGTGATGGCTGACTCTGTGTCTTTCTTTGTTTCCTTCATGTTTGCAGGTCGACAGGATGCACCTATCTATAGTAATTATCACCTCCATATATGGTGGTCACTGGCTAGTGGGCGCGCGCTGTCAGTTTATGATTGATTGGCATTCATAGACATTATACACATGCCTATGATTGCTGTTTTCCTCAGTGTTCACGAATCCAGTGTAGGCTTTTAGTACCAAGGTTTTTTACGTGCAAATCTGCTCACAGATTTACAAACATTTCATGAATGAGACACATAGTACAGATCTTCTGAAGTGGGGTTGCATGAGGTGTCTATCCACAGTCAGTGTAGTATCTGCAGCAATCCAAAATGTCCCTTTAAAACTATAATTATAAACTGTAAGGTGTATGTCACATAAAGAACACCATAACAACACATCAAAAGTCTCGTGTAGATAAAATTAAATCTCAAAAACCTTCTGATTTTACTTAACAACAACACTACTAAGATATCTGCATCTCCCCGGATAAAAAATATATATATCTCTTACTGTTGCAAGCACACAGAGTCAGATATTTGTTGTACATCACTAACAAAACCTCATTCATAATTTGTCACCCTGTGAAACCGAGCTATGACCTCGCCTGTTTTATAGGGGTGTTTGTCGTGTGTTTAAGGGCTGAATCCTATGACACAGAGCCCTAAGCCCTACACACACACACACACACACACACTGAAGAAGAAAAGGTGGGGAGTGGGGACAGTGGACACAGGTCGCTGTGCTGACATTTGCTTCTGGCTGCATACTTACAAGATTCTTATAAGGCGCCACGCCCTGACAGCACGGAGGCAAGCACACACAAACGCTTGAGACACACCAAGTTTTAGTGTCTGAAACATGGAGGGCTTCAAAAAAGTTTAAGGACGTAATGAGAAGTGTGCGTGTGTAGGTTCTGAGCTGACCTGTGCGTGGACCAGGGCGTCGTTGAAAACGATGAACCAGTTGACGGAGAACCTCCCGGCGTTCTGCAGGGTCAGAGCTTTGTTGCTGCTCTCGCAGATCAGCCGGCGGTGAGGCTTCCGCAGAGAGTCCTGACCACACACAATGACAACATTCAGCTATATAGACACCATGTGACACCTCGAGGGCTCAATATGAAGGACACACACACACACTCAGAAAGTTTACCGTCATTTTGCCGGGGAAGCTCTTCCAGAAGTGAAACGTGTACTCGGCGTCCTTCCTTCTTCTCTTCAGCTGGAGGGCCAAAGCTTCAAACCGGGAGCAGCTGTCCTGCAGCCTCTGGTAGTCACTGGAGCACTGACAACACAAACGTGAAATAAGCATGATGATTTTTTTAAAATAAGAGTCCGACTCTGATGATCTTGGCAACAGAAATGTTCATACATTTAAGAAAATTTGAGCTCAAACCTAAATATTTTTATGTGTTTTAACAAAGAAAATAATGCACAAAAATATATATTTCTATCAAGACATTTTTTTAAATTCTTTTTTATTTAATTCTTTCCCCCTTACACTCACAATTGTGCAACACATGCCATATTTATTTAACAAACTTCCCCTTAAAACACTGGGTAACTAATAAGTCACACTAATTGCAACATGTTCTAATTATTTTGATTATTATTTCATCTGTTTTTTAGGTTTATGTTACATTACACAACTGTTTTGTTGCAACAAAAATAAGGAAAAAAATATAAATAATAAATAAATAAAAATATTGGATGACATTTTATTTTATCAGTCCCCAGTCTTTTTTTATAATTTCTTTTTTGGATATAATTTTAAAATCAAACAATATCACTCAAGATAAAAAAAAACAATAGACAAAACTAAACTTAACTAAAATAAAATAATAATAAATAAATAAACAAACATTTTATTCTTTCAAATAATCTTCAAAGCCAAAAAAAAAAACAAGTAAAATTAACAAATTATCTTCTACTAGCAGTCAACAACAGTAAATAATTGCATTAACATAAAGGTAATTGGAACAGAAGTCATGCACGACTGCAACTTGTGTTTGTTTCACCCACCACTTCGAAGCAGGTGGCCAGTTTGAGCAGCAGCCGGCCGTACTCGTGAAGGTGGCGAGTTGGGAGGTAGAAGAGCGCCACCAGGAGGTCGGCCATGGTGGGGTTCTCCTCGCTGCACTCTGCAAGCTTCTTAAGCAGTTCTGGACTCTTCCCGAAGAAATCTCTTTAGGGAAAAGCATCACTTGTTATTAAAAATTCTTTTCCAATTACTTGTGTATTTGGCTGCATCAAAGCTGGATTTAAAGGATGATAGAGTGTGTGTGTGTGTGTGTGTGTGTGTGTGTGTGTGTGTGTGCTCACAGTGAGGGTTTGGTCAGGGACTGGAAACCTCCCATCACATGGAAGTTGCCCACAGTGCTGCAGTACCTTTAATGTAAGGCAGAATTTAGCTTTGATTAATTCAATCTAGTGTTTTAAGACTTACAAATAATCAAATGGCCGTGATGGTGATCACATACTCCTTGTACAAGTCGAGGAAGATGCTGGCGTGGTCGAGGACAAGCAGGCTCTTGACGTCACGGACGCGGCGCAGGTTGGCGGTGAGGCTGGCGGCGTGCTGCCCGGTTAGGTGACACAAGAAGCTAAATCGGCCTGCCAGACTCTGCAGCAGCCCGAGGTTCACCTGGCCGAGGGCTGAGCTCAGAGACTCTGGAGAAGGATGGCGCACAGACAGAAAAAAAGTCAAGCAAAGTAAAACAAATGACAAAAAAAAGAAGTATTTTTTTTCTGTATGTGTCACTGTTACCCAGCTCCAGCAGGGGGCGTATTATCTGTGTCTTGATGTTGGACAGCTTGCAGTAGAACTTCCTTTCTGCTGAGGCCAGCTCATGGAGGCTGGCGATGAAGCCCATCACGTTCCTGTCCCACAGCGCCGCGCACCGCTGGCCTCCCGCAAACACGTTGCTCACGTAACCGAGCTGGAAGACGAGGGAGACAATGTGATGAAATACACAGACATCATTTTTAATTAAAAAAACCCTACAAAACTACCAGCTACTTTGTGCTTACGTCCATGCAGAAGGGGAGTAGCACAGGCTGCTGGGTGTAGCCCCCCACCCGCCCCTCCTCTTCCTCTCCTTCCTGTTGACCCAGCTCCTTGGTGTTGCTCTCCTCCGCTCCCTCTTTGACCTGCTGTCCACTGTAATAAATAATAGGACGGAAGCAGTCTCCGTCTGCGAGCAGGAGGGTGTGTCTCTCCCCAGCGCTCACGTCCCAGACCCGGATCCCCTCTGACAGCTGGGAGGAGGAAGCAGAGAGGAACATGAACATTGAGGCTTTCTCTGTGTGTGTGCGCTTTGTAAAGGAGGTGGTTTCTGTACCTTTGCAAGGCGGGGGACAGTGCTGGGTGACTCCATGTGTCCAAGCTGACCAGAGCTGTTACTTCCCCATGAGAACACCTGCAAGATTTGGCCAAATAAACACATGGATAGAAAAGAAAAACAGGTTGCTTTTGAAGTGTGAAGACAAAATATTTTCCTGCAGGTCTTGTAGCGTACTGACGCACCTGAGACTGAGCGGTGAGGGCGAGGGAATGATGAGCGCCGGCTGCCACCCGCACCACTTCCTTATTGTTCAGACTCTTGATGCACAGCGGCTGTAATCTGCAAACGGACAGGAGGATGAAGCATCAGATCATATTAGTCTATCTCAACCAATTCTCCGAACATATTGACTGACCCGATGAGCGACTGCCCATTTGAATCCACTTTTATTGTCTAATTGGGAACGAGGAGGCTGATTATTTCTTTGTATCCTGTCTGTCTGTTATATGTTGCACTGATACGCTGCCAGCTTTGTGTGCCAGGTCATCATTTCCTAATTTCATTCATTTGTTTGTGTATGCTATTCATGTTGTTAAGTGTATAGGACATTAACAATCATTAGAAATTGATCTCCTTTGTTTAATACAACTAGTCCATACCCATTGAGTGCACAGTTGCCCACGTACAGTTTCACATGGTGTGTGTTTGGGATACAGGTCATAGGAAACTGCAGATTAAATAGTCAACTGAACCCATTAAGAAGAGCAATGTGTTCAGACAGAGTTTTTGTCAATGTGATAGTACGATTGCCAGCGCCACCCAGTTGCCAATTAGAGTTAAATTTCTCCAGTCACCTTGAGGCGTCCTGTTCTACATATCTACCAAGTTTAGTAAAAATCCATATGGCGGTTAGGCCTAGATAAGAAATGAGCTCTCTAGCACCCCCATTTTGTTTGATGGGGTCAATAATGGAGGGGTCCCCTCAGATTATGTGTGGTCATATGCCTACAAAGTTGCGTGGTGATGGGTGAAACCCTTGAGATGTTATACACCTTTATGTGATGAGCCACGCCCTCCGCAATATTCATTGCCTTATAGAAGCTCAGTTTTAGTAAGTTTTCCAACTTTTGCCAAGAGGGAACTTTAGATATTGGTCCCTAGATTATGTTCACCCAGTTTCATGCAGATCGCTCAAACTTCCTAGGAAGAGATCCATTTGAAGTGATTTTCAAAAAATTCAAAATGGCGGAAAATCTATATAAGCGGAAGTTATGGGTTCTTGAGGCAAATGTGTTCCTCATGAGGAGAGGCATCTCTGTGCAAAGTTTCATGTCTCTACCACATACGGGGCATGAGATATGCCCATTCAAAGTTTGCAATTTCAATCGGGTGCTATAGCGCCCCCCCTTTGGCCAATTGATGTAATATTGCTTCATTGGCATCCTCCCATGACCCTCTACCACTGTGCCAAATTTCACATGGATTGACCAAGTCAGTGAGGAGAAAAACGTGACACACAGACAGAGTTTTCCTCATTACATAGCAAGATAAAACATTATGTTAGCATGTACTGCATACTTTCTTTGTTCATATTCTGAAGACGTAAACCGTAAATAAATCGTTGTACTGTTCTATATCTGGTCATGACATGTTTCTCTCAAATATACTGTGGTTACCGTGTTTCGTGCAGCAGCAAAAAGCATATCTGCCTCTAATAGCAGCATCCAAAACTTTCAAACAATAACCAGCCCTTGAAGAAAACAGCTGTTTGTCGCTGACGTCTAAAGTAACGCAGTAACTTCTAAAATTAAATTTCCAAGAATAAAATTAAAGGAGCTGCATTCTTTAATAAACGGACTATGACGGAGGAGGAAAGAGAGTTGTGCCAGACTGTAATGGGCTATTTTAATATCATTAGACCGGGGTTGAATGGTTTCACGCGCGGCTAGGAAGCATAACATGGCGTGTGCGTGCATTACTACTCTCATGCATGCACATGCCCTGGCACACTCAGAGTGCACTACTTGTAGGCGGTTTTAAATCTTTAAATCTTGCTCTTTCATTTCTCATCATATCTTTTCAGCGTTGCTGTTTCAAGTGTTTGTTTTTTCCCACGGCGGACATTTTGTCTGAAAAGTCTCCTCCAGATGCAGCAACAAGAGACCTTCCTCCTACCTGGCCAGACTGTCTCCATGTCCAAGTTGCCCGTGCTCGCCGTTGCCCCAGCTCCACACTTCCGTCTGCAGGGTGGGGAACACCTCCTGGGCCTCGGGGACCGCCCCTCCCAGCGGGGTGAGGGCGACTGCACGCATCCTGGGACGTCCGGCTTTTCTCAGCAGCCGCGGGGACACTGTGGGTGCACGACACAAACACTGTAATCCTAAATGTCTGCTACACACAAAACAGTGCGATATGTCTTTACAACCCGAACTGTTTGCATCTGTTGATAAAAATGTTGTCATGTTTTCAAAGCAACGGAAAGAACCTCAATCTTGATGAATCTCAGGTGCAAAGTTCAGCAGGAGAAATCAATGTGTTGTTATCAAACCAACAACATGGCCGCACAGAAACAGTACTGACATTCAGCTCACATCAGCCAGGTCATGCTGGAACACAGCAGACAAACAATGAAGAAGAAGCCTGCAGGCAGCAAATACAACACACACTGATGGATGATTAACAATCCCAGGCGAGGCATTCAATTATTTCTGCTTCCTAGAAGGAGCGTGACTGGAAAAAAGATTAAGAACTGCTGATTTAGACTAATTCTGACAATTTCCAAATATCCAAAAAGCTGAGAGGCTGAGAGGTTAACTTTCCGACCTATAACAATAAATCGACTACTCTTTTTTTACCTGAGACTCCAGACTTTCGTCCATGGATACTTTTTTGGATACAGGATGTGATCCAATACTGGCGACGGCCAAAATGCCAAACTTGAGACTTTATAACGAGAGTCCACACAGCAAAAGGTGACGTGATGCTGTATATGTCCATTATTTTATACAGTAAATAGTTCACTGTAGTCTGCGCGCTGTTTTCAAGTGCAACTTTTTGGGCAAGACACAGACGACATGAGGCAACGAATCACTCGGCCTTTGATGCCATCAGGTCTTTGATGTCAGTATGGTGGTGTGTCTGGGCTCTTAAAGCTTTTCATTCTTCTGTCTCTCCTGATTAAAGCGTAGCTCAGATAAAAACATCACATCTGTCAGCAAGTTCGGATTTTGATCACTACTGAGCCTGTTTGTCACAGGTAGCCTACCGACAACACTGGGTAACACTTTACTTGAAGGTATGCTGGCACTGTCATAACTATGACATGACACGGTCACGAACCTGTCATAAACATTATGTACATGTCATAAACATTTATGACTGCTGTCATTAAGTGTCATTTGTTTTTTGTAATGACAAGTTGACATTGTTTGGGTTGTCTTGATTATGACAACTTGACATTCATTAAAGTGACATTACCAGACAAGTTGACGACAAGTTGACGTTGGTTGTCTTGATTATGACAACTTGACATTCATTAAAGTGACCAGGAGTTGTCTTTGTCATGACAAGTTGACATTGTTTGGGTTGTCTTGATTATGACAACTTGACATTCATTAAAGTGACATTGCCAGACAAGTTGACGACAAGTTGACGTTGGTTGTCTTGATTATGACAACTTGACATTCATTAAAGTGACATTACCAGGAGTTGTCTTTGTCATGACAAGTTGACATTTAATTTGTTTGGGATGTCCTTATAATGACAACTTGACATTAACATAAAGACATCTTCTGGTAATGTCATCCTGGTTAATGTCAAGTTGTCATTATAAGGACATCCCAAACAAATTTAATATCAGCTTGTCATTACAAAAACAGAATGACACTTAATGACAGCAGTCATAAACATTTATGACATGTATATAATGTTCATGACAGGTTCATGACAGTGTCATGTCAGTTATGACAGTGTCATGTCACTCTTATGTAGATACCTTCAAGTAAAGTGTTACCCAACATTGTCTTCACTTTACTTGTTCAACTGTCTTTAGCAGCTTAGATAACAGACACTCGACTGCTGTTATTACAGACATGTAAATTAACCCCAGATTCCAGCCTCGTTCATGGTCACTGGAATCAATACTTGATGCTTTTTTTGGCATCCAAAAAAATGCGTTGTTTTTTTTTAACCTGGTGGGGAAAAAAGTGATAAACCAGAGAGTGTTTATAAAATACCTGAAGATAATCACTTATCCAGGCTGTAATTTCTTTTGCTGGACATGAAGATTTGTGCTGCTTTGTCTCATCGAGTGACTGACTCTATGAAGTTTTCTTTCCCCGAGATTCTTCATCAAATCTGATCTTTCAACCTTAAAACTTGACTTCCACGTAACCCACACAACGACGGCCCAAACACAGATGATGAAACCCACTGCAAATAATCTCTATCTAGGCTAACTACGAGGACAGAGAGATATGATGGTAGACGGGGAAAGTCCATCTTATTCCTGTTCGTGGTCACACAGACGCTATCCTGTAATGCACCAGGCTCCCTTCGCTCTCTCTTAAATCACACCCAACGACTTCATTCTGCTCCAATAAATCTGCTAAATCCTTCGGTGCCCTCCAATGTTTCCTTGATCACTGAAAATCCCTGTCAAGTTGGAGGCTAAAAGATCAATCTGCATTCCTGAGTGTTTTTAATCACACAAAGGCAGCCATTCAAACAGGCTCGCTCAAACTGGACTCAGAAATTAGTGGCAAATTGCAGAGAGCCGGGATCAGATTTATCATGGAGCAATCCTGAGAGGCTGACAACACAGCAATTTGTCAACTTCCTGTGTCCAGCTAGATGGAGGTGACATACACAGAATATAAAAGACTAAGCTGTGCACAGAGTGTGACACGAGGACGAACCTTGGCCGTGCTTACACGCTGCATGAGGAAGCCTGAAGCAAAGACAAACACACGCACATCAACCTGCACATGCGCAAGAAGTACTTACGCAGCAGGGCATAGGAGGAGGATAAGAGGTGAACAGCGTATCTACCCTGAGAGAGGAGTCCCGGGAGCGAGAGGCGGCGCCGGAGACCCTCGGCCTCCTCCTCGCGGATGTCCCCTGTGCTGGAGCTCTTCTTGGCCTGAGTGGAGTCCTCCTGGCGGACGCGCTCTGCGGTGTTGTCGCCCACAACGCCTGTGAACCCCACCGGCCCACCTGGCCTCGGCACTCCTGAGGGAAGGTAGAAGTTCATCATCTTTTTGAGGGACAGGGCCTCGTAGGTGGAGGCGACCCGCTCGCCCACTGCGGAGGCGCAGGAGGCCACGAGGCTGTTGAGTGTGGAGCTGGGCCCTCCTGCTGACGGCTGGAAGAGACACAAAGCAGAGGCACGCGTTAACATACGGGTCGGGTGTTAAAATGTGAGTGCCAGGATATAGTCACTCACTAGCAGAGTGTGCGGCCCTCCAGCCGTCACCTTCGCCGTCTGCTCAGCCGTCGTGTTGTCTGACAGCTTCTTCAGGTAGTCTTTGACAGCCTGCTCATCTGGATACGGTGAGCTCTTGACCCCTACAACACCGCCATCTCCGGACTTAGCTGAAGGGTCGGAATCTGACGCTGGCAGTGCTCCATTAGCCAAGACTGACTCCTCTTTCTCCACGTCCTGAGTGGGGTCAGAAGAGGGGTCACCACCTTGAGCAGGTGCTAAGGAGTATGAGGTGGAGATCTGGGAGGGGAGGACCGGCTCAGACGGGGATGTTTTGAGGACCTGTGTCAGAGCAGGTGTGTCCAGCCTGCCGTCATCCTCAGTCAGTTCCACACCGAGGGGGCAGTAGTGCCCGTCAGAGATGATGACGTGGTCCTCTTTGTCCGTCATAGTGTACAGCAGCTGGTTACACTGTCTGCATTTGTCCACGGGGGGCCGGTGGATGTCCTGAGGCCCCAGGCAGCGCACCAGAGCCAGGCTGTGTGAAGCCCCACATGCCACCTGTAATACATACCTGCCTGCCAAGTGCTCAACCTTTTGTGGTTTCCAGACAGGGAAAACGGTGACATTGAGGCCCAGCTGGCAACCGCTGCCCCACGCCCACACCTCCCGCTGGACCGACAGCGCCAGGGTGTGCTGCTCGCCACAGGAAAGCTCCAGCACTGGGACCGTCTGTGGCGGGCTGGTGTCGGAGTCCACCAGAGCGACTGGAGTCGGGTTGGGGACGGTGGTGAGGCCGGACAAGCCGCACTGTCCTGAGCTGTTGTCCCCCCACATGTGGACGCCACCGTCCTCTGTCACTGCCCCGCTGTGGAAGCTTCCAGCTGCGACAGCGACCACTCGCTGGCCGCTGAGCGCGCTCTCCAGGGTGGGTTTCGCCGGCTCGGGCACTTGACTCTGCTTCCATGGCAGCTCCCCAAAACTGTACACCTGTCCACCTAAATTGGGGGAAACAACAGCACATTAATCAACTTGAATTACAGCCTCGTGGTTGTATGCTACCCATCTAACCCTCTGGCTCCCACTCAGACGCTGAGACAGCACGAAACTCCCACTCATAGTCTTAACATCTAGTCCTAAACTGAACTTAAGTGTTACCTTCTACCAGCAGAACACCGTGCCGGGTGCCCAGGGCAACCTGGAGCACAGGCACAGGGAGGAGCAGCCTTTCTGGAGTGACACTGCAGGAGTAGCCCTTCCAGGTGTGGAGCAGGCCTCGCTCTCCGCCACCGTCATCCCCAGAGCTGAGCGATCGACCCATCAGAAACACAATAAGTAGGGTTAAGCAGGAAATGTTAATCACTCGCTGGTGTTATTATAGATCTCTTACGATCAATAAATCCCAGGAAAAAGGATAAGCAGTCACAGGCAGGAGGAACTCAAAATGATGGAGGATCCTCCCAAACTATTTGCTCAGTATGATCTTTTGTAAACTGAGTCTCAAAGAAAAGTTGAAATGTTACCCTAGGGGCTGCCAACACTAATTACATGAAGCATCATGGGAACACAATGTTCTTTAGACAGGAAGTAGCCAGAATATTGGGATGGACAAAAGCAGAAGTAAAGACAAATAGCACTGATGAGGTGTGAAGAAGAAAGAGATTAGAGACAAACAAACAACCAGCAGGTCTGAGCCAGCCCCTCCTGTGCAGCGCTACATCTGAACAACACATGTTTTGTGGGTGAAAGCAGAAGTGAGCTCAACTCCATCCGTAGGCGGTGTCACATGGCGATCACATCCAGCCTGCCAAGCCACAAAATGCGAAAGCAACAGTTGAGCAGAATAATCCTCTTTGGGAGGACTTGGGAGAGACTTACCTCTTCCTCTGGGTTTCCATCAGTGGACTTTATGTCTCCATCAGGATGTCTGATGCTGCAGCTGTCAAACAAAACACACCTCATGAGCTGAGAGCTGGGAAACACTCCTGCTAGCTTTCGTGTTGCTGTCAAAGCAAACAAAGTCCCAAACAGTGACTTTTAGGGGAAAACCCACACAACTGGAAACACAGCCAGGTGAAATGTCAAAACGAAAGCAGCTATGCTAACATCCAAAATGTCCTCCCACAAATTAGCTGTCATCACCTACAACCTCTGGCAGGTGTTTCCACCTGTTACTAGCTGTTGTTAGCGAAATATCACAACTGTTACCGTTAATCTTTGAAGCTAACGTTAGCTAACCAGCATCGCTAACTAGCCAAACCGCTAGCTCAAACCACAGGTGCCTTTTCTTAATTTTTCCAAGACAAAAAGCCTCTTGTGTCTTACCAGCTGGCTCCACACGCCGCTCCTTAATGTGCTCACTCACACAGGCAAGAAAAACACACGTCAGTGAGGTTGTTTAGCAGCTAAATGCCGCTGGTTGTTGATCATCTCTTGATGTTGACACAGAGAGGTGCCGCTACAGCCCAAGATCGTCTATAAACAGAGAGCCTCACTCAGCAGAGATAGCACTCTGTGTATCCACGCTACTCCGCGGTTCACCAAAACCGCAACAGAGTGGGACATCTCACTATTTCCCTCCTCTCTGAATTAGTCTTCTTCTACTACTGCTGCTTCAAAACCTGCTACTCAATGGCACCACCTGGTGGCAGAAGCAGTGCAGCGCATTAAAAACTGTGGAGGTTTGGGGCAACACTGACACACACTGGTTTTAAAGTCACATGCATTGAATTTTTTAAGAGGATAATCATGTTTAAAGTGAGAAGTAATAATATAATAATAATGACAATCAAAAAATGTTTTGTGACATTTTTGTGAATGTTTTGCATTTAATTTTAACGAACATTTAATTTCATTCAATTTAGACGAGTCTGTGTTTCAGTGTATGGGGTGGACTAAATTAATTTTAAAAAAAAGCTATTTAAAAAATATATTTTTCACCCTTATAAAAAGTTTCTGAGGATACCACCACATAGAAAAAAGATATTTGCGATAAAAACATTGCCTGCATATAAAGAAATAACAATCAAACCGTAAATTGACCTGTTGCCTGCATTAAGTTGAACTGACACAGATATATATATATGTATATATATAAGCAAATTTGTCCATAAAGGAGCCCTTCATTGTGAGCAACTGTGTGCAAAAGTCTGCATCTGTCTATTTTATGAAAAGAGCATCTTTCCAGCAGTGAAATATATCTTTAATATGCATGTTTGTGGCTGCAGCTGTGGTTTCCTACTGTCTATATATATTTTAGCATGAAGATAATGGCACTAAAAGTGTCTCAAAAATGTAAATAAAAACAAAACAGAGCGAGCAAGAAGAAGAAATAAATGAATGAATGAAACTCATGCTCAATACTCATGTATTAATATTAACATATTCATTATTATTATTATTACAATATATAGTATACTATAGTAGAATATACAGTTACGATTCGTTTTTTTGTCTGAAATATCCTCAAAACATCTTCAAAGTAATCTGACTATGCCTCCAAACTCTTTCTCAGCGCAGCAGAGTTCTGGACCAGTTAAAGTTTATGGATGGACTTGAGAGGGAGACCAAGATTATAAAGCCAAACCTTGTTCTTTTTTTCCTAAACCTAACCACATGCTTTTGTTGCCGAAACTTAACCATGTGTTTCCAACGTGCATTTATTTTGAAAGAGACTGTATGTAAACTGTACATTGCCTGTGAAAACGCAAGTGTATTTTGAAAGAAGAGCGTCAAAGAGCAACACACCCAGGGTACCTTGCACGTCCAACATGGACATAGAAAGTCAATGACCAAACACTGATATGTGATGAGGTCGAAGTGAGAATGCGTGGCTTCCGGTAAGTCCCATTTAAAGGTTGGCCAAAAATAAACTGTCTGCACAAAGTAACCAGAGTGAAAACTGAGGCTTTTTTTTAACTCCAGGATATCAGTAAATTAAAAAAAAATATATAAATAATTTATGGTGGAGGGTCAAAAAAAAAAAAATTAAAAATAATTTATGGTGGAGGGTCAAAAAAAAATTAAAAATAATTTATGGTGGAGGGTCAATTTTTTTTTAATTTATAAATAATTTATGGTGGAGGGTCAAAAAAAATTAAAAAAATTTATGGTGGAGGGTCAAAAAATAAAATAAAAATAATTTATG